AGAAAAGTGGGTGAAGGGAGATGTTGGACAGTGTAAGATATGACAAAATAATAATAATTTATAAATTATCAAGGGTTCATGAGGGAGGATCAAGGAGGAAGGGGAAAAATGAGGAGCTGATACCAAGGGCTCAAGTAGAAAGCAAACGTTTTGAGCATAATGATGGCAACAAATGTACAAATGTGCTTGACACAATGGATGGATGGAAGAATTGTTCAAGAGTTGTATGAGCCCCCAATAAGATGATTTTTAAAAGAGTGAGCAAAAATTCATAATTCTCCAAGTGAACACTCAAAACTTAATCTGTTTCAATTATAGGTGCGTGCTTCCTTCAGATTTATACATATGTCCATAATGGTGCAAAAGTTCAAACTTGGCCTTTTAGTTTTACATTACAATCTATCTGATGCATATATTTCTTCATGCCATAGCTTGGGTCAGGCATGCCATAGTCCCCTGAGTGATATGCTTACTGTTTTACACATTAAATAGGTCGCGTGCAACAGCTTTACCCAATGCAATAAATACAACATTAGATAGCATCATGGAAAAAGCTGGAAGAATCCAGTGGAATTTTACTAAATGTGTCTAGGCTTATTTTAATGCAATGGCTAATAATTTGGTTAGAAAGGAAAAATAAGAGATGAGGTTCAAGGTAGTCTATCTTGGGCAAAGCAGGACATCCAGTTCTCCAGTTAACTGTGATTTAGTTGCCAGGTGTACTCCTAGACAACAACATGGACCAAAGCACAGGTCTATCAATGGAGTCTCAGCACCCCCTTGTCATCTGCGCTGATCAGACCACGTGTCTAATCACAGTGATGATTTCAGGGCAGCTTGTTTTAAGAGGGATGCTGAAATGTTGGAAAGGATCGTGAGGGAGCTGGCATCTGTGCCATGTACACAAAGAGAAAGACTGGAGAACCGTCTGGTGATTGGGGCAAGGTTGTGGACCCCAAAATATTGAAGCGCCTTCATGAGTGAGAAGCAATGAGACTCTACATAGTAACAAACAAGTAGATTTGGGAGCCCTGAACCTAGGTTCTACACCTGGAAGCACTGTTAGTCACGAGAGCTGCCCAACAGTGGGCCCGCTGTGCTGTCGAAGGGTTCTTCCTCGCAGCAAGTAGTTCTTCATCTTGAAAGTACTCCTAGTGGGGCTCCTAGCAGGCAGACTAGAGTGGGGACTCTACCTCTGAGAACACGGACGATAGATATTCTAATGAAAAAATCACTGGGATTTTTAGATCCAGATTAGAGTGTCTCAAAAGTTACTGGCAATTCCTCAGCCAGCCAGCCTCATCAACTGTGGGTCCCCTTGGGGTTTGTGACAAACATGTTATCAGGGATGGTGAAGTTTTGTTTTTGTTTTTTTTAATCATTTTATTGGGGTTCATACAATTCATCACAATACAGAGATCAAATGTGTAAAGCACACCAATACATTTGTTGCCCTCATCACTCCCAAAATTCGCTTTCCTCTTGGGTTCCCGGAATCAGCTCATTTTCCTTTTTCCCCCTCCCCCCTCCCCCATGAACCCTTAATAATTTATAAAGTATTATTATATCTTATCTTACACTGCCCGGCGTCTCCCTTCACCCATCCCTCTGCTGCCCATCCCCCAGAAAGGAGGTTATATGTAGATCCCTGTGATCAATTCCCCCTTTCTACCCTCCCATTCCCTCCTGGTATCCCCACTGTCACCCCTGGTCCTGAGGGGTTCATCTGTCCTAGATTCCCTGAGTTTCCAGTTCCCATCTGTACCACTGTGCATCCTCTGATCTAACCAGGTTTGCAAGGCAGAATTGGGGTCATAGTAGTTGGGGGGAGGAAGCATTTAAGAACTAGAGGAAGGTTGTGGGTTTCATTATTGCTATACTGAATCCTAAGTGACTCATCTCCCCACTACCCCTCTGCAAGGTATGTCCAGTTGTCTACAGATGGGCATTGGATCCCCATCACGCGCCACCCTCATTGATGATGATATGATTCCACCCCAACCCCACCCCCCGCCTTTGGTGTTTGAAGCCTGATCCATTCGGCCCTTCATGATCACATATGTTGGTGTGCTGCTTCCATGTGGGCTTTGTTGCTTCTGGGCTAGATGGCCGCTTGTTTACTTTTAAGCCTTTAAGTCCCCAGACGCTATAGGTCTTGATAGCCGGGCACCATCAGCCTTCTTCGATGGTGAAGTTTTTTGTGGGTTTTTTTTTAATATGCAAAGAGTGCAAATTCCAGAGGTTAAGGCAGTTAAATAACAGCATTATTAGAATTATGAATGTTTCATCCAACATAGCCATAAAATAAGCACAATGGCAAGCCACATACTGATGATATTTCCATGCATACATAACCAATATAGGATTCGTATTCAAAATGGTTGAGTTACTACTACAAATTAGACACAAATAATCCATAGAAAAATGAACAAAAGAGATAAACAAGCATCACATAGAAGAGGAACTCTAAATAACAAGATGTCTAAACTCCAGTAGTAAGGGAAATACATACCAAAACTACAATCATATGTCATTTAACTAATTGATTAAAGTCTAAAACTTAGAAAATATCCGGTGTTGACAAGGGGGTGGACAAGAACACTTAAATACCATGATGCATGTTTGAACTACTGTAACCACTTTTGGGGGAAAAATTGTCAAGAATTGAATTCACATAGTTGTAATCTGGTAGTAGTGTGTGTTAGACACTGAGCTGCTTCTTAACTGAAACGTCAGCAGTTGAAACCCACCAGCAGCTCCTTGAAAGAAAGATGAAGCTGTTTGTGTCCATAAAGATATACTGAGACCCCGACATAGGGCCACAATGACTCAATGGCAGTGAGTATCACACTCTCCTATCACCAGCAACTCAATGCACTGAGTGATATATATCTATATAATGAATGTCTATAGTAGTCATTTCTGATTTCATAAGAAAAATGAAACAAAAACATCTGGCAAAATCCAAAACTCCAACCACCACAGCATATTCAATCAAGAGGCCTAGTGTTACAGTGATTAAGCGCTCAGCTCTGAACTGGAAGCTTGAAGAATCGAACCCAACAGCCACTCCAAGGGAGAACGACTGGCAGTCTGCTCCCACAGACCTCACAGAGTTTTAGAAATCTGATGGGGCAGTTCTGCTCTGTCCTATAGATTTGCTGTGAGTCAGAAGCAGTTCATTAAATGTATGCTTTATTTTTTTAATATGCCCAACTAAATAATGCAATGCTTAGAGATGGAGTGCTAAAGGAAAGAGTGCAATTCTAAACTTGAATTTTAGGACAATGCTTCACTCTGTGATAAAAAATAAGGCTTTGGACAAATGACGATTACACAAAGATGTCATTAACAGCAGTAATAACTTTGCTTTTAAACTCGATGGCAGGTATAAAGTTGTTAATTATATAACCATTCTTATCCTTTTCATATGCTTTATACATTTTTTTCTTTACTTACTTTTGACAGAATTCAAGAAAACATATCCAATAACATTTTTTTCTAATCATTTTATTGGGGGCTTGTACAACTCTTATCACAATCCATACATATATCCATTGTGTCAAGCACATTTGTACATTTGTTGCCATCGTCATTCTCAAAATATTTTCTTTCTACTTGAGCCCTTGGTATCAGCTCCTCATTTCCCCTCCCTCCCTGTCCCCTCCCTCATGAACCTCTGATAATTTATAAATTATAATTATTTTTTCATGATCCAATAACATTTTTATAAACATTTTAAAATAGGAAAACATCCAGAATACATCCTACGTCATCATTCATTTTGTAT